TTGTGAAATACTGATAAACCAACTTTATGAAACCTTACTGAGCTGTTTGTATAGCGCTGCCAATGTAAGCGCATGGTGGCAAGTTCACGAACCAAATTTTCAGACCTCATACAAGCCCAGGAAGCACAGAGTCCCAAACAAGATGAACCCAAAGAGGCCAACACCAAGACACATCATAAAGGTTAAAGACAAAGAAAGAATCTTAAAATCAGCAAGAGAAACGCAGTTACCTACAGGGGGACTCCCTTAAAACTACCAGCTGATTTCTCAATAGAAACTTTGCAGGCCAGAAGGGATTAGCAGGAAATATTCAAAGTGATGAAAAGCAAGGACCTACAACCAAGATTACTCTACCCATGAAGGCTATCATGTAAAATTGAAGGACAGATAAAGAGCTTCCCAGACAAGAAAAAGCTAAAGGTGTTCACCACCACCAAACCAGTATTACAAGGAATGTTAGAGGGAGTTCTTTAAGATAGAAAAAAAAATCAAAAAATAGGAATAATAAAATGTCAATGACTATATACCTATCAACAGTTACTTTCAATGGAAATGGATTAAGTTCTCTAATCAAAAGATTGGCTGAATGGATAAGAAAACAAGACCCTGACATGCTGCTTACAAGACTCACTTCAGATCGAAAGACACACACACAGACTGAAAGTAAAGGGATGGATAAAGATATTTTATGAAAATGGAAACAAACAAAGAAAAAAGCTGGGGTAGCAATACTTCTAGATAAAATAAACTTTAAAACAAAGACTCTAACAAGAGACACAGGACCTAGTAATCCCACTTCTGGGTATTTATCCAAACAAACTAAAAATGCTACTTTGAGGGCACATGCTCATCTATATGTTCATTTCAGCATTATTTACATAAGCCAAGATGTGAAGGCAACCTGGGTGTCCTTGAATGGATAAAGAAAATGTGGTACAGGGCTGGCTGAGTGGCTCAGTTGGTTAAGAGCTCGCTCAAGAGTTTGAGCTCTGAGCAACAGTGGTTCGAGTCAGCCCGAGCTGAGCAGCCGCGGAGCTGCCAACAGGTGGCGGGATGGCTCAGCTAAAAAAAAAAAAAATGTGGTACATATATACAATGGACTATTACTCAGCTGTAAAAAAAGAACAAAATCTTGCCATCTGCAACAACATGGATGGACCTAGAGGATGTTGTGCTGAGTGTAGTAAGTCAGACAGTGAAAGACAAATGTCATATGATTTCAATTATAAGTGGAATCTAAAGAACAAAATAAACAAATGAAACAGAAACAAACTCAAAAATAGAGAGAACATTTTGATGGTTGCCAGATGGGAAGGGGTTTAGGATAGATGAAAAGGGGACGGGATTAACAAATACATCTTGGTTGTTACACAGTAGTCATGGGGATTTAGAGTATAGTATGAGGAATATAGTTGATAATATTGCATATGAATACATATGGTGTCAGATGAGTATTAGATTTATTGGGTTAATAGATGGGAAGGGGGTTGGGCAGGCTGAAAAAGGTGAAGAGATTAAGAGATACAAATTAGTAGTTACAAAATAGTCACGGGGATGTAAAGTATAGGGAATATAATCAATAGTATGGTAATAACTATAGTGCCAGGTGGGTACTAGTCAGGGGGATCACTTCCTAAATTATATAAATGTCTAACCACTATGCTGTACACCTGAAACTAATATAAAATACTGAATGTCAACCAACTCTAATTGAAAAATTAAAAAGGGGGAAATGAAGAATAAGAGATTCAAAGGTCCAGTTATAAAACAAGTCTTGGAGATGTAATATACAGCATAGGCATATAATCAATAATATTGTGATAGCATGGTACAGTGTCAGCTGGTTACTGGACTTATCATGGTGATCACTTCTTTAACATAGGGAATATAATCAACAATATGGTAATAACTCTGTATAGTGCTAGGTGGGTATGTTGAATAACTATGATGTACACCTGACACTAATATAATATTGCATGTTAGCTATATTTTAATAAAAAAAATCCAGTTGGGCCAAATTCCAAAATTAAAAAAATAATAATAATAAAAAGTTTGATTTGGGCCGGCCGAGTGGCGCGATGGTTAAGAATTCGCTTGGGATGCCAGAGGGCCCCGGTTCGGATCCCACATATGAGGGCCAGTGACACTGCCCTCTACAGCTAAGATGCTGAACA